GGAGGGAGAGAGAGTGGGGAGGAGGGGGGAAGAGAAGGGGTGAGAAGGACGGGCATAGGCATAGAGTAAAAGGGTTCAGGTGAGATTACACTTTCAGGAATATACCTATCTATATCCATCTCACGTCTTCTGTCTAGGATTCGCCTATGTCGGAACAGTTTGTAACGGCGTGCAGGCCATCTCAGTGGTAGAATATGACGGCACCTACTCCACGGTCATCAACACTGCGCACGAGATCGCTCACAAGTAAGGCAATACATACAAAGTTTGACTCTTTTCTTTTCATTGCCACCTTTCTCATCCTTCGACTTATTTATCTCCTCCTTCTCTTGTATTAAAAAAACCCTCAACAAAACAGTTCAATGTTTTGCTCAATCGGGCTGCATCAGGAACATTACCAGAAAAAAATCCAAAAACTCAAGCGTTAATCTATTTGATGGTTCGCAATGAACCCTACTGAAAGTATACCTTGAAGAACCGCGATTCAAATGTGAAAAAAATTGATTGAATTCAGTCTAGGATTCGTTGAAACCGTGGTAAAATCGGGCGCACGTAAAAAAATAATAGAATCAAAGAAAATGACATTGTTCCGCCCATTGCACAATTGTTATCGAATCTTTATGGTGTAATCAATTAGAACTATTTGTGTGTGGATTTTGCTAGAAAAAACCCCACAACCTTGATCAAACTCACCAAACAAAAAAACCCAACAACAACAAAAAAGACAAAGAGAAAGAAAAGGAAGTTTGACGACAAAACGTGGTATACGCCATTTTCAGACTTTGTCCGGAACTAGTACAAGTACCGTAAATTACGAAAAAAAAGGTGAGACACATTCTACAATTAACTTCTTTGTCAACAAAATGCGATTTTGTCTACTTTTTAAGAACTGCACAAAGTGACGCTATTTTTTAACGAAATTCTACAAAAGCGGTAGGCCTAGGCCTTTAAAAAAAACAACAACCGCGACATAGATCTATTATCATCTGCTCGAAAATGAAGTTCTTTCCTCAAATCAAGTGACATGATTGTGGTCAACAAAAGTTTGCCGGCGGTTCTGTCTGTTCCATATTATTGTTGTGGAGATATGTATCGTTTGGTCAAAAATCATGTAAATCCAACGTAGATCTAGCATCTGCGTTTGTGGCGGTCGCGATTTTTGGCATTTTTTGGTCCGCGAATCGCGGCCGCGATTTCTGCATTTTCCCAACAAAATACCACCGCCGGGAAGAAAAAATAATTTTAAAACAGCAACCACAACAACAGCAAAAACCGGGAATAATATTCGTGAAAAAAAAAGAAACCTTTTTGTTTTTTAAAAAGTGTTATTTTAGAGCGTGTCTCCACCAAAACTCAATACTGACACTTTCAAGTGGCAGGCCCCTTGTGTGATTCCATGGTCTACATGTTAGATCCTGTTGTTTTTTCTTGAATTACACGCCTTTTGGGTTAAAACGGCTAGTCTATGGATGGGTTGACACACGCCCTTATTTGTTAATTTTTGTTGTTGTTAATTTGCCGTTCTAATTTTGATTTCATTCTGTTGTGAAACCTTTATTTTTCACGTTTTTTACACTCTATGTGGCTACAAATGATATTTTGGGTGCTTAAAACAGAGCATAAAAATGTATTATGTTTTAGATTAAGTTATCTCTAGATATCTATCAACATATTGTTATATACATCGTCACAGGGAGTTGAAAGCTTGAAAATTAATGGTAACTTTTCGGGCAACTTTTGCTATTTTTGTAGCAACTTTTGGACAAAAAAATGGCAGCAAACGCAGCTGCTAGATAGATTGCCGTCGTACAACAAATATTAATTAAGCCTTTGATCTACATCATGTTTACTCTAAAAACCAAGCTGATCAAGATTATTCAGTAAACTGGGTGAAAACGGAAATCTGTATACAGTATAACACGAATAGGTCGAGCGCAGAAGACTCGAGTCACGCATCCGCCGAACTGTGCTTGCAGTCTAAGAATGTCACATTTCTAGTCTTGTGTGAATGAGGTACCCTGACCTTGTCAGTGCTGCCAGAATGAATGAAAAGCTTTCTGTTTTTTAAAGGATGAAAACTGAATTTACTGAACTGCATCAACAAAAGAAATTTTTAAAAAACAACAACCCACAACTAACATAAAAAAAAGAGACTCGCATCATGGCGCACTGTGCAACTAGCCTATAGTATTACCCTCGCACCTGAAAGCGGCTGTCAACGAGGGGCAAATAACTTTCAAAACAAACTAGTGCCCTCCCCTGAGTCGAGGTTCGGAATTCGACGAATTCGTGGGGTCTGAGTCGGAGCTCGAACATTGGGCAGGAGGACGAGTGCAAACACGAATTCCTGAACTAGGGCAGCCAAGGGGAAAATGGAACACGAGGAGCGAAAACATATTTAATTTGTTTAAAACTGAATAATTTTACGCAAAACTGCACCCAAGAAACATTTTTGGACGCCCAAAATTTAGGTTTACCAATAAATGAATGAAAATGCATAAGTTTGATAAGTGTCATAAAAACCATGTCTGATTTCTATTTTCCCCTCGCTGTGTTCAGAAGGAAGCGGCGAGTTCGAATTGGACCGTCCCAC